ATCTAGTGTTTATGAAGGACCAAAGCCCATTTATGAATATTAGTTTAATACCACAGATGTCACCACTGTTTTCAAGGAATAATTACCTACAAAAAATACCATAAAAAGCACTAATTGACTGGTCAGTTGAGTCATTTAATTTAAGAGGGCAGCATGACCTTGCAGTCTACCCTAATGAGGACATTTTGACTGCATTTACACGGTCATGTGTGTCCTCATGAAGCATGGACCAGTCACTCTGCAGGGCCCTCATCAGTTACACAATCGTAATGTTTTCAGTCAAGCGGACGCTATGTTAAGAACATCTAATGCATCTAGCTGTACATGCATTTACTTGTTCACAAAGCTATCTGAAGAGGACATGGGCACAGTTAGTCAACAGCTCAAACACTGTTACTGTTTCTGGAGTCTGATTATCATCTGTCTCTAATGGACCATATCTTTAGCATTCTGGGGTTTTTTTTCTTTTCTTTTTTTTAAGCTGCTACTATATGTCTTGAAAGCCTCCCCCTTTCTGGACTTGTATTATTGTTACCAATAACTAGCGAACAGACTTTGGTGCTTGCATGTGCATATCTGTTCCTCTGCTGGCCACAATGCCTCCCTGCTTTTTCTGTAAATAAGAATGTAGTTTTAGCCATTTTATCTGGATTATTGAGGGTTAGCATTTGTGGAAAAGTGAATGTGCAACAATTACTACTTCTTTTTTTCTTAAACGTAATGTGCTTTGAAAACATCAGTATGCTAACATGCAATGTAATTATATATAATCTTATAAAATTTCCTTCCTGATGTTCTGCATCACGGTTTGACAGCAGAGCATTAATCTTTTCAGCCTTTTGAGCTATACTGTAGGTCTCTGGTGTCATTTCCCATGTATACTACTATAATGATCTCCATGTAACTATTCTATGTACATATACAAGTGTAAGTCATTTTGAACGGCACTCAAAATGTTAAATATCTGTTACTGTACACCCAGAAAACGGCTTGCCAAGGTAGTCTTTACCCCAGATAATCATATTTATTGTTTTTTGTATTACATACAGAGGGGGCCTTTGCATGTAGGTTTTAACTGAAATGGCATTCTTCCTTATGAAGTCAGTGTTAAATGTGAAATAAATTACTTTTTTATGCTTCTGTGTTTTAAGTATATTCCCCCTACATCTCATTCATCATGTTACCTACTGTAAATGTTACTATATTAAAGGGCCTTGTTTATACTTCTTTTCTTTCTGTTGCTGTTTGTTCGCTGTATGAAATGAAGAAGATGTTCCTTTTGAAAGAAATTATCTGTGTAACAGTTGGACACCAAACTTAAATGATTACCACAGTACAACTATGAACTGGATTGATAGTGTTAGCTCAAAGCTAAATCCACGAGTAAATCCTAATTTTAGATATCCTGTCTATCACTTCCGCTTTATGTCGGTTTGCTTCATTGTGTCATGACAGGAAAACCACATTAACCCTGGAGGAGAGTTTTCGCACTGATTGCCAAACAGATCGTGTAGGTGGTGTGGACACGCCCAAAAGACGGCTCCCTAATAACCCCTTACTCTTCTCCCAGTGCTAAGTAATGACAGCTGCGTTCATGCACACAGACTGCTATTACAGGTGTCCTTTGGTATGGTCATGTACCATACGGTAAGCTGAACTGGTGAGATGTCACTGAAAAATGTCAACGCATAACAGCTTTTCATCCATAATACCAATAATGTTTGTGTCATTGCTGATAGATTAAATTATATTTTTCTTTTAATTCTAAAGAGTACATATTTTGCAGATGTTACGGTTTTTATCTGAATAAATGTGTTGACGGTCAATTTCTCTGAAGGTCTCGCACATCGAGAAGATAGTGTGTCAGCTGAGATATTTAATATACAGTTAACAGAGTCATTTTCATCACTGGATCCAAATCTTTTTTGCTTGTGCCCCTTGAACCTTCTTAAATTGTTTAATTTGAATGTTTTTTTTTAGAAACCTGAAGAGGTAAAACTATCAGGTGTTTCATAAGAAAAAAAAAGCAAAGATAAATGTCCAAAAAATTAACAGACCTTTCTGGAACAGGGTCATCTTGTGAGACAGAGACCAGATATTTGAGTGAATAGATAGTATGCTATGGTGGCAGTAGCATATGTTTATATAACATATTTGCAAAAAGAAAAAGGAAACCTGTAGTTAAACCTTTTTTTGTTTTTTGCAAACGCACCCACTCTAATGTTGTTTTGACACATTATTGATAACAACAGATAACAAAGCTTATATAAGTTATTGTTACAATGCTTGTGTAATGATATTTCACAATCTAAGACATGGTGATGGTAGTTGTTGTTCCTGCTGTAATGTTTTTGTTGTTGTTTCAGGAATTGCTGCAGAAATATCCAAAGCTGCTTTATAACGTGTAGATAATCTGATTGGAATAATACAAACCGGTGATTGTTAAACATGTAGAACTCAGACCCAGTGGGTGTTAAGCCTACATTACGTTGATCTAAAAATGACATGCCCACATGTGGATTTTACTCTTTTCACTGAAACTGAATGAAGTTAACCTGGAGAGTCATGTGAAAGGAGGCAAATGTCTTCCAACAAAACAGACCACAAATGGGAGTTATGACATCAAGTTGAAGCAAGTGCTGTGGAATGCACTTAAACACAATATTTCGCTGAATGTATCACAGGAAGTTCACGCAGTGCCCAGCTTGGGCGATGATTGAAAAGCGACACTGGGAAGCACTTTGGTGGTTGGTGAGAGAGAAGTGCATGTAAACAAATCACAGCAGCTGTTCTACAAAGGAACTCTCACAGAAAATACTGCTAAATAAAAATAAAATATTAAAAATCTAATATCCACCTATTCTGAGCTTAAAACGTTTGAATTGCAGTATCTGATGGCACATGCTTTATTGACATGTTTGTAAATACACATGTACAAGCCACATGCAAATTATCTTCCAATAGACAGTGACAGAAAGTACTTTTACTTAAGTATTGTACTGAAGTACATTCTCAGGCACTTCTACTCTACTGAATTTGAGAGGGAAAAATTGTACTTTTAATTACACTGAATTTATTAAGCAGTTACTTTACAGATTAAGATTTTAATTTTTAATCACAACCCCAAAAGTCATTGAGAGCGGGAGTCAAACATACAATCCTTGGGTTATGAGTCCTGTGCACTGACAATACTGACAGGAGCCATTCTACTACATTTTGGTGATCATACTTTACTTTTAATCAAGGAAACCTTTGAATGCAAGACCTGTAATGGAGTGTTTTTACATTGTGGTAGTGATACTTTTATCTAAATACTTCCACTGCCATCTTCAGATAAGTTCCTTCTCTATGTTAACATCTGGTTTTATCTTGTGTGATACAGCTGTCTGCTTCTCTTTGTTGTTGTCTGGTGCAATGAGTACCACTAAGGTTTCAGTTTTCAGAAGGGAATTATATTGTACTACTACTAATAATGGTTTATGTGTGCCCTAATGTATTTGCATTCTTTGTGTGTTTGTGTGTGTGTGATTCTTGGCAGCCGATGATGCAGTGATGGAGAGTTGCAGAGGCAGAGAGAAATGTGAGAGCAGGCTGTGAACTCTCTGCAGACCCATGCAGTCATTTCCTCAGCGGCTGAAGGTAAACACTCACTTTTTGGAGAGGAAGTTACTCAAATCTCTCTCTCTCTCTCTCTCTCTCTCTCTTTCTCTGTCTCTTTCTCACGTTCAGTTGTTGACCCTGTGACCCCAAACCCTGGCTGGCCCCCGGTGATCCTTGCAGTTGTAAAGGTACCTTCTTATTTGTTAGGTGTGATTTATCAGCATGCTGACTTCACACGCATTTGTCTTGTTCAACTTGTGGAATGAGGTGTTTGAGAAGACTTCTGCACAGTGAATTCACTTCATTATGTAATAATTATATACTACACATTATTCATTACTATATTACTTTCAGAAGGCCGTTTTGTACCTGTTACTCCATTAAATGTATCTGATGATAGCAGTCACAAACCAGACTAAAGAAATAAAGGTTTACATCATGCAAAACACACAGGAAGCTCATGAAGCATTGTTGGAGTTTAAACCGATCAACAGTGTGCAGAGTATTGCTTCTAACTTTTATTTAGGTAAACATTGAGAGTAGAACTTTTGGTTTAAATTTGGTGTTTTTCTATTGTGGTATTGTGTTTTTTCTTAAATAAAGCATTTGTTTATCATTAGGAAAAAATGCTATCACATTTTAACTTACTGAGAGGCATTGGTAGAACACGTTTGCCCAGGTGAATCTACAGGTTGTACATTAGAGAGTGACGTTTACGACAGATAACTTGATATGATGTGTGATATCAGGTAAACTGAATATAATGACCAGATCTCACATCTTTAAAGCTGTGGTGCAGTCACATAGTGTTCGCCTCTCTACTGATTTATTTTTCTCTCTAAGTGAATAAATGTTGAACTGTCATGAGATAAAAAGCTAGATGTCCACACAGCTGCCTCCTTACATGCTGAGTAACTCCTCATGCTGACCTCAGCTTGACCCCCATGACCCATATCAGAAAATGTCTGGTTTGGACTATGTCTGAGGCTTTTTTATGGACATGATAATGTCACTGGAGGTTGGGTATCAGCACCTGGCGGTGAACAAACAGGCAAATGATAATTTAATTTCTAAGCAGTAGCCTACAGAGATAATGGTGTGCAGGGACAGTCTTTAATAGAGAGGGGTTTCTTAGTGTCACAGTCTCATATAAATACTTTTATACATCAGAACCTCTACAGCAGTATGTTATCTGTGTCAGTATTTTTTTATTTTAGGAATGACACACACAGCTGTGCAGCTATGATTTGCAGAGTGGGGGCAGGAGAGGAGGGGGTGGCGGGGGTGAGGAGAAATAACCAACAAGGAAACCACTTTCAGCTTCGCTCCTGCACCGCCTGGCTGGCCCGCAGCCAGGTTTCTCCAGAGAGGGTTGGCTCACCCCTTCTCCTCTCCTCCCTCTCTTCCCTTCTTTCTCTCCCAAACCCGCATACGCAACTCTCTCCAACTCTCCAAAGCAACAGGCGAGAAGAAGGAAGAGCGACAAAAGGCGAGGGGCAGCGTTTCAAACAACAGCGACGAGGGCGCCAAGACACTTTTAAAGATGCCAAACGTGTCAGTTTTGCAAACGGATCACTTGGGTACGCAAGGGAAGTGATTCCCCCCACCCCCCACTTAAGGAGAAAACAGGAGGGAGGACGCGCTTTGTCCCCCCGACGTATGAGACGTCAAAAATCTACCTCGGTTATCAAAGCAGGCGCTTTTGAGCTGGAGCTGAAACCCCTCAACTTGTGATTTCATGTCCCCGGGTCTCTGTGGAGGGCAGTGAAGGATGCCAGGATGCCCTCTCTGATCCCCCATCTGCTTGTCATCTGGCTGAGCGTCCACAGGCTGGTGTGGTGCGCGGAGCGCTCCTCCACGCGGGAGCGCTTCAAGGTGGTCATCGCTCCTCTCATCTGCAAGCGGATCTGCCTGAAGGGACAGTGTCAGGATACCTGCGAGCAAGGCAACAACACCACGCTGATCGCGGAGAACGGGCAGGCGTCCGACACGCTCATCGGACAGGGCTTCAGGGTCGGTGAGTGACGGTGCGACGCTAAAACAATGCTGTTTATTTATGAGGGGATATAATTAGGCTGCTGCGATTAACTGTAAGGGCTGCTCTGACCTCTGGGTTTATAGTTTTTCCTCTATAGAGCCCTTGGAGAGGCGACGGTGGCCTGTTTGGTTGCTCATAAATAGATTTTTTTATGTGGTGGGATAGTGTGAAAACAATTACATAGCGAGACAATCTAGGTAATTCACTATCTCAGTGATAAACATGTTATAACGTTGACTGCATGGCAGGCCTAATATTAATTAATCATCTATTCTATAATCATATAGGCTAAGCCCAGATTTTAGTGTTATTACAAGGCAGTGGTGGAAAAAGTATTTAAATCAACCGCTTAATTAGGCAAAGTGGCAATTTTTACTGCAGTGCAAGGAAAAGTCCTGCATTCAAAAAAAATACAACCCCCCCAGCAGTGTAAAAGGGAAAGTTCTCACAATGAAGATGGCCAAGGCAGTGCTCATTCTAACACTTTATAATGTATAAGTACTTAAAGCTGTGTTTCATGATCTTACCATATATTATAAAAGCTTTACCTGCAAAGAAACTACTACAGTTGTCAGTTAAGTGTATTTGAGTTAAAAGTACAATTTCTCCCTCTGTAGTGTGGTGGATGAAGTCAATCGTGAGTCAGGTCAAGTAGAGTGCACATACTGTATCACAATACTTGAGTACAGTCCATGATGAAGTGTCTTTTGTTTCTTTCACACTTCTGTGTAAAAATTGGTAGAAACATTAACTGTGGCAACTAAGGCCTTCTGTAAGTTATCATAAGCCAAACAATAACCAATATAATCAAAACTTAAGTTTAAGGGATTCTTTCAGGGCATTTACTCCCTTAAAAGGTCCTATCTTCTTTACAACTTACATCAAGTTTATACCAGCTAGTTACATCGACTGTGAATTCATGTCATTAAGATTTATGTCAAATGGGTCTAAACTCTGCCCCGCAAATAAATAGGTGGCTCAGATGAGGTGAGCTGGGTTTACCCTCCACTGCGTCGCTGGAAAACGTTCCCATCTTACACTTTAATTACTGAGGCATGGCTCATTACGTAGCATATAAATGTACTCCTAAGATCTATACTTTCCCCCCACCGACTCCAGTGTCTGGTTGGTATGAGTGCAGCCTTTCTGCACTGTATCAGATCAGCTGTGGTGAGACGTGGAGCCTTGCAGTCTACGTCAGTCTCCGGCCCAGAGCTGGATTTCACTGGTTCTCTTTTTCTCTGAGTTACTCAGAGAATAAGATACTAAACAAGGAAATGACATGTTGTGATAGAACTTATGATAAAGTGAGTTTAAAACTGATGAAAGAGCTTCAACTTCTCAACAACATTTGTGTTGCTGTGCCATAACTGAGTTCTCCCTTTGTATCAGAAAATGTAAATTATAAGTCACTTTATCCTTGTTTCATAAATTGATATAAAATATTCCTATATAGCACATGTCTAAAAGAATAGGTTATAGATAACAGCAGAATGTGATAACACATTCATATTTATATATATTCATATTTCTGTGAGCATCACACCTTCCTTTCTCTTCTGTCTTGCAAGAAATAGAGCACAGTAAACTCAGACTCCTCAAAACTCATATCCTTTATCTTTAAAACCCCTGGTGTTGTTTGTTTTTAAAGGAGAAGCTAAGATGCAGCACTGGGTGAAAAATGGCTCTTAAGCAATGCCCTACATTCATCTGTGGCCATAGAAAGCCAATGAGGACGTCAGTATGAATAAATCATAAGCAGGTTATTGACCACAAGATGCAGGTTTGTGGTGCTTCTTACAGTTATCACACACAGTTTTGTGGTACAGAGAAGTTGTAGTAGTTGGTCATGCAGATGTAGCCTCTCCAGCTGTTTTCATCGGTTGTCCCATGTGTAAGTAAGCAGGTTTAATCGAGGTCAAGTGAATCCTACTTGTAGTGTTCTTCCTCTTCGACACAGCGTAGTGCTGTAGAATGGCTCGCCCACCGGTCCTCCCTCTTCTCCTCCTGTTTCCCTGTGGTGCGTAACTTTTTGGAGTTTCCGTGTCAAATAATTTAAGAGAGACATTTTAAATTCCTGGAATATCTCATGCTGCCTCACATTTGGTCTGGATGGTGAAGTTGCTCTACAGTCACCTACTACTGGATTTCGCAGTCAAAGTATCTGTACAAAGGTGTTTTAGGGCCATTGTAGATAAAAAAAAATAGTAAATACATTAAGGAGCCAGGTGAGGGGGGTAATATCCAGAGAACAAAACTGAGAATTGCTGAGATTAAAGTCGTAAATTTATTTGAAAAAACTCAGAAAATACTAATTGTATTTAGATGTGCATGTGTTATCAAAGGCTCTGTAGTCTACTGAAAGCAGGGTAGATGTTAATAACAACAGCCGACTTTCACCAACCAGTGTTATGAGATACTTCCTTCTGTTCAAAGACCAAAAGCATAACAGATTGGGAAAGAACTGCAGACTTTTACAAATGACTAAGATGTGACACATGCATTCAAGTGGCTTATTGCAGTCCCCCATATCTGCCTAACTGTCTGAAAGCTCCACCTCTTCTCTTGTCTGCACTGACTCTCGTCTTATACTAATAATGAATGAAACAAACTCGGAAAACACAATTTTCCCCGAGTTTTTTTCTCTCGTAAATGTATGACTTTTTTCTCGGAATATAAAACCCCACCCCTGGCTCCGTGTTTTTTTTAAACCTACAATGGCCCTAATACGCTGTTGTAAAAAAGCTCCTCGCTCGTTGTATGACTTTTTCCGGCAGGGGATGGAGGGCTGGATTCAGTTTGGAGAGGAGACGTGTGTTGTTCAGCGTGAGGGCTGGAATGTGGTGTGGACAAGTGGAAATTTCTCTCGTCCGTGTTAAAACGGCCATGGCTATACCAGCAACAACATGAAGACTTTTCCATATTTGAGCTGCTGTGATGTCATCACAGCTAGCCCCAAACTGAGCTAACCTTTCCGCAAAAGAAATGTAGTTCCTGTCAGTTTGTGGAAGTGCAGCAATACCTTTCAGTCCTTGTGCTTCAATATGTACAAGATTTTTCACAGGCAGTAAAGAATTTGGGTGGAATTTGGTGGACAGGTTGAGGGCCAAGAAACAGTCAGGTTTTAGTAGTGATCTGGATTTGGGAATTCAGCCAGAGATGAATATAATTTTTATGGCCATAACTTTGAAAGTATAGAGAGAGAAAGTTTTTTTAACCTTCAGGCAGGCAAACTGGATAAAGTGACCAAAAACCTGGAGATAAGAAATTCAGACTGGGGATATTGCTGTTATATGGCATACATCTGCTCCGGAAACATATATTTTCAATCCTAAGGGAATGTTTATGGGTTTAGAAATACATTTTTATCTTAAATTTAGCTGGTTTAATGATATCCCAGGGCTAAACAGCTGGAGAACAAACTAGAGAACATGCCAGGGTTGGCAGAGGTTTGTGCTTCTAAGGAGTTGTTTTGAAATAGTTTACGTTCTTGCAGTGATATGAAATAGAGGAAAGCTAGTGAATCCCATATTTCCTAGGTGTTACCAACAAATGTTTGATATTTTTAGCCATGCTAGCGGGGTTACTCTCAGGATGGCAATTGTACCATTGGATGCTATGACATTTGGCATAGACATTCAAAGTTCACAGAGGATGAATCTTAATGACTTTGGTGAACCCCTGACTTTTCATCAAGTACCACATTTATGGTTTTGAGTAAAAGATTTCAGAAAAAGCAAAACGATGAGCTGTAAGACATTAAAAAAGAGAAAGAATTGAACTGCAAAGTCAGGTGATAATTCTCAGATGAACAACACCCTTCATTTTAAATTGACCCTTCGCTAAGCCACGCCCCGAATACAAAGCTGACCAATCACAGCGCAGTATATACTCTCTCTAACTGAGGTCCGACACTTTCATGGCTGTGCTCCATTGACTCTAATGCAAAAGGAGTCATTTTCTAGTTTTTTTTTCGCTATGGTCAAACACTGTTCCTGGGGCACTTGTAATAATTACAATCGTACTGCAGTATGTAGCAGTACATACTTACCATTGGGGAACTTTATCATTAACAAGTGAACACTGACTGCACGTCTGCATGACATTAACTTCACAATGCTTTGCAATGAAGGTAAAGTATGCCAGACATGCGCTGGCCATGTGTTTCCAGGGAATCCACGTGTCATTAATACTGATATATATTTCACTCTACACTTCCTGAAACCGATGAAAGCACGGAAACTTGAAAGCCTCCCAGGCACGTTGGCAGGCAGAGAAAAGCTGACATTCACAGCCTGATATGCCTTTTTCGTGGATTCCACGTCGTATCTTCTGTATGGAAGTCATCATCGGGCTCTGCAGCGAAGGCATTGTTATCGTTTGTGTCAGGAATTAAAGAACGAGTGCATCTTGAGGGACGTGAGAAAGGTTGTGAGTTCAATTTCTAAAACACAAAATTGTAATTGAATGAACCATTGCATGCTCATCCCCTTGCATGTCCTCTTCCATATCTCTGTGGAACCTGAGATTGACTTGCTGACAAAATAACCAACTTTTAAAATTTTTTTACCCTCAGCAGTTGAAATCTAGGTGTGAACTTTAGGACAGGGAGAAGGTTGCTATTTCGCTCCTTTGAGACTAGGGAGTTTGTTTATGCGTGTGCATCTATCTCACACTTTGTCCAGCAAGAGTTATATTTTAGTCTTCGTTAAAGATACCCTTTCAAAAGAAAGTGGTTACATAAAAATCAGTATCTGGGCACATGCCTTGGTTGTTCTGACTAAAGTGTGTTTTCAGCCCAAGTCTCATTTTTTCATGCCGTTGCTAGCACAGAGGCATCCCATCGATCAGCCTTACTGACAGCAGAAGCAGCTCAGCTCCTGGACAGCCCTCTGAGTTTCGTCTCTCTTCTGCATCTCAGCAGCATCCCGTCTATATCAGGGCTCCAGATGTCCCGGTGGCTCTAGATTCTCATCTTC